CCGTTTGCAGCTTTGACATTGGGGTCACCGGCTGCTTTTGGGGACAGTCCTGTTGCAGCTTTGACGGTCGCGTGGGAGGTTTCTGCCCGACGAGGTTGGATTCCTCTGGGTAAATATGGCAGGCTCTTAGAAGTTCAAGAGAAGTTAAATTGCTGTTGTCAGGGGCGGGGAGCAGCCCCCTCTCTCACCCCGTCTCCGCTGTGTCCGAAGCCGTGGTGCAGCGGCAGGAGCGGTCGCTGCCTCTGCCGGTCTGGGCTGTGCGAGCTCCCTGCTGACTGCAGCCGCCTAGGAGCTGCCTCCGGTGCCCTGCCTGACGCAGCGTGTTTGTTGCTGTGTTTGTTTGATTTCAGCTCTGCTGTAATGAAGGAAGCTTGAGTGCTTGCCAGGCAGCTGGAAATTCTTTGGTGCCATGAGGCAAACAAATTTCTGTGGTCCTGCGGACCGGACCTGCCCTTGGGCCGGAGGACAGTGCAGAGGTGCTGCAGGGGTGACGTTACGGGTCTCCCCAGCTGCTCCCTTCCTTCTCCCCTTTTCCTAGCAGCCACGTTGGTTGCCAAGTAGGAGCAGAGGAAAGAAATACAGCAGCATAGGAAAGAGGGAAGAATTGGTTTTATGAAGCAGTTGCTCATGTGCCGTCCCTCCCATGACAGCCTGCTCCATTGCAACCACCTTCCCTGGATGGCACAGCAACCCTTTCTACGCCGGCACTGTCAGGCTGCAGCGGACATCTGGCTGGAAGGAGCATTGTCCTCTGGGTATAAATAGACTGCCTGCTGGCAGGGTGGAGGCTTTGGGAACGTCTCTGCCGGTGTCCCAGGGAACGCTGACCCCCTTCACCTCTGATCCGTGGTGGATGCGTTGCGGGAGCCTGTGCCACAGCTGCTAGCGGAGCATAAATTCCTATTTGCTGACTTGTGCATCTGGTTCTTGGCTATAACTGTACGTCAGTGCCTCTTGCATTTAGCACAGCAGTAGCAAACAGCATTGTTGCTGACTGGCACTGAAGAGACGAAAGGTCCAGGGGTTGTGCAGGTTGCATTTGCACGGGAGCGCTCGCCTCGCCGGAGGAGGTGTGCAGCTCCTGGCTGCTCGAGGTGCAGCTACGTCTGTCGGGCAATATCTGATTCATCGGGCAGTGCAGCAGCACTCTGAGGGGAGGAGGTATGTAGGGACAGAAACAGGAGCCAGGCATAGAAATTGCTGTTCCCAGCTCTGACGTTCTGCCTTCCGTGGCGGGGAAGGAGCCTGCTCTCCTCTGGGGCTGGCTGCCCTTCATCTTTGTTTTCCTATGAGCGTACGGTGGCTCTGAAGATAAGGGAGGGAGAAGGTGATCCTCTGCTCTGGCACTGCCAAGGACTGACAGGGGCTTTCTCGCAGAAGAGACCTACAGCTAGGGCCAGCTTTGCACGGCCAGGAGAGGTGAAGGCGGCAGAGCGTTGGCCCAAACTTGTGATGGGATTCCCGTGTGCCCAAACACTCCCTTGTGCTGCAGGATCAGGTTGTCCCCCTGTTCTTTGGGATGCTGTGCGTGCAGAACTTTGACTTGAACCCGGGTGTGCTGGCTTTCCTGGGAAGCAGAAAACGTTTGGAGAGGCGTGAGCGCAGCAGCGGTGTTCTCCCGTCCCGCAGGACGCCCAGCGAGGCAAAGGCTTCCCCGCGCTCCTTGCCCAGGGTCGTGGGTTCTTCAGCTGCACTGGTGTGGGTCCTGGGAGGCACCTAGGGTCTGGCAGGACCCTTGTCCTGAGGAGTTTCTGGGCTGCGCGCAGGCACCTGTTGGGGAGGACGCCGGAGCTGCTGCTGCCGGGACGAGGCTGGGAGCGGGAGGCGCGGAGTGCCGGCGTGCTGAGTCAGCATGACTGGCCCGGCGCAGCCATGCTCCGACCCAGCCCGCTGCCTGACAGGCTATTTTTAAAAATGTGGCTTCCGTGTATTCTGACTCCTCCTAGTTGTTTAATTTCTCCCGCCCCAAATGAAAAACGAGCATTGCCACAGAGCCTTGGTGGGAGCAGGGGTGTGGAGGGGCAGCAGCTCCTGCTCGGGGACAGAACCTCCCACTTGGTCGGTCCCGCTTGGTCGGGTGCTTGTCGAGTGCTGCCCAGGGAGGGGGTGGGATGCGCGGCAGCGCAGGGTGTCGCTGCTGGACCCTGCTATGGGAGTGTCGCGGGCTCTGCTGCATCCTGGGGGCTGACCTGACCTCCCTTCCCTTCCAGAAGCTGTGTGACAAGGCTGTCGTGTTATGACGACCCCCAACAAAGGAAACAAGGCCTTGAAGGTAAAGGGGAGGGTGGAGAAAGGGCTGCGGGTGGTGGGCGCTGGTGTCCGCTCCGGGTTTCACGGGCGCGTGCTGCCTTCTGTTCCAGGTGAAGCGGGAACCGGGCGAGAATGGGACCAGCTTGACAGATGAGGAGCTGGTGACCATGTCTGTGCGGGAGCTGAACCAGCATCTGCGGGGCCTGTCGAAGGAGGAGATCATCCAGCTGAAGCAGCGCCGGCGCACGCTGAAGAACCGGGGCTATGCGGCCAGCTGCCGAGTCAAGCGCGTTACCCAGAAGGAGGAACTGGAGAAGCAGAAGGCAGAGCTGCAGCAAGAAGTGGAGAAGCTGGCCTCCGAGAATGCCAGCATGAAAATAGAACTGGATGCTCTCCGCTCCAAATACGAGGCTCTCCAGAACTTCGCCAGAACCGTGGCCCGGAGCCCCATGACCCCTGCGCGGGGGCCTCTCACCTCCAGCATGGGGCCCCTCGTCCCTGGCAAGGTCGCTACTACCAGCGTCATCACGATAGTGAAATCCAAAACGGACGCCCGGTCTTAGTGAAGCGAGCGTTGCCTGAGCTTGTCTGTGCAGGGCAATTAGGCACAAAACCAGCCTGGAATCCCCAAAGCACAAACCTTCCCCAATGGGTCCGGGTTCCTTCTGCTTGGCTCAGGACTGGCCTGCTGATCACTCCGGTTTTGTTTTGTTGTGTCCAGATTGGTACGAGCAGTGGTGATGCGTCCCTTGTCCCGCGCAGACAGCGGTCTGCACCCTCGGGCGCCCTGGGGACAGACGGCGAGATCTTGGTTTTCCAGCCAGAGCGCGTGGGCGCAGCGCGGCCGATGGCAGGGCGGCGGAAGGGCTCGGGGAAGGTCCAGAGGGAGGCTTTCTTCCTGGGGGCCGGGAACCCTAATTTTCGGTTGCTTCCAAAGGCTTTATCTCATTACTCTTCCGGGTGGTGCATCTCGGTGCCTGCCTGCTGGGCGCCCGAACCTGCTGCTTTTGTCTCCTTTGGTACCCGTAGTTGCAGTTGGGGTGTTCTGTGTGGTAGGTTTTGTTCCTCTCTAGGTGTGCCTCTGTGCCCTAACCGTGTGTTCCCTTCAGACGTCCGTTGCGTTAGCTGTGTATGCGGGCAGGGGTGTCCCTGCTGCCTCTGCCCCCGCGCTGGGGCGGGAGCCAGGACAGGGCTCGTGCGGGGGCTGCACGCCCCAGGGTGGGGAGGGACGGTACCGTGTCGACTGCAGGCGGGTTTTGTGCCTAATGCGTTGCACTGAACAAGACCAAAATCACTAGTTGTTCCCGTGTTTTGAGGGTATCAAGTGTCTCTAGTGTGATGGTTTACACAACCAGTTTATGTGGTTAAATAGCCCTTTATTTAAAGAGAGAAACACCATTTTAAGAGTTATTAAATTATCTAAGTTTAAAATGAAATTCAGACGGAAGAGAGAGCGTATTTATAGTCAGCTTTTTTATCTGAGAGGGCGAGAATATTTGACCATATAAATGGGGAAATATTCTCGGAGACTTTGCTAGTTAAAAGTTAATAAATAATTTTAAAGTTTCTCATGAACCTCCCGCAAGCTGTTTGTGGCTCTGAGGTTAGTTTTTATAAAGAGTTATCAGACTTTATTTATAAAACTTAGAAAAAGACAAAAAAAGAGGCAAGTCCTGTTTGATATCTTTTTGCAATTGTACCAAAAGTGACTTATTCTCAACCTTGCTGGCTTCCGTTGTGTCCCCTTGTGTTGTGCTCTCTGAGCTCTCGTGGTGTGGTGGTGCTGGTGGCTGCCTTTGCCATGTGCTGTTGTTTCACGCTGCTGTCATTTTCCCTAAGCTCGACCGAGAGATTGAGTTGGAATCTCTCCAAATTCTCCAGAAGGATTCTGGCACACGGGCAAAGGTGCTGCTGTTGTCGAAGGCAGAAACGAGCAGCTGCTGCAACTAAGCAGTGACGCCTGCCCAGAAAACGCTGCTCTGCAGGGGCCGATGCGGGCGACCCTGTTACCTGCACGGGGAAAATGTTGCGCTTTCCTTCTCCAGCAAAGCTGGTAGAGAAGTAACACAGGGGAGAATTGTCCAAGTTAAGGAGGAGACTGATGGGATTTAGCTCTGGAATCGGATCCTGCGGCCAGAACTTGTGTTGCTCTTGCGGCTCACCTGACGAGGGGCAGGTCTGCCGTCTGGGCAGTGCGGGACTAGCGCTGGTCCCCAGTGTCTGCACAGTGCGGAAAACTGAGCTGTGGCACGGTTCCTGTCTGTCCTGGTGCAGCTTCTGTCTGTGGGTGCTGGAAGGATGCTGGGATGTGTGACACAGAGGAGAACCTGTTCGTGGCCGGGCTCCATTTCCACCAACGCTTTGATCCCTCTCTCCCCTCCCCAAAGATTCAAGTTGATTATGGAGTTGTTTCAGAGATGCAAGACGTGCGGGTGAAGTCCACGTGATCTCCTGGCTGCTGAAAGTCTCCCAAGCAGGGGGGACAGACCAGGATGGTACAGGTGAACCCCCAGTCTCGCAGGAAGGCGCGGTTGGCCACGCTGGGTGGTTTTTGGTGGTTTCTCACGTAGCTGAACTGATAGTGCTGCTCTCTGGGCTGAGGAGCAGGTAAACCTGGGGCAAGCCGCAGTGTGGCAGGAGAGGAGCGGGTAGCTGGTGGGGATTTCCTGCTGGAGCGGGAGATCAGCTTTGCACTGATGGACTGGGAGTTTAGGGAGACACTGTTTAGGATGCTTTTCCCACTGAACTTCCTGAACAAGGAGCAGGTTAGAACGTTGCCTCCAGGCTTCCCCATCCCACCCCTGGGCTTTCTCTTCTCCGAGCTGAAGCGTCAACGTGCTGTTTCCCAGTCATTCACCAGGTGGCCACACTCAGAGCACGGAGCTCTGGGCTCTAACCTTTGTCTTCTAGCTGGCGACGCGGTGCCTGGAAGAGGTGAGATGTTCCAAAACACGGAGACCTCCAGTTGGCCTGGGGTGTCAGTCCAAACCCTGTCCCTCCTGGAGCCCACCTGAGATCGAACCCAGCTAGAGAGCCGTTCTGAGCCCCTTTTTTTTTTGGGGCTGGGCAGGGACAGAGTGCCAGGGGCTGGAGGCTGTCGTGTGAGGAGGGTCCCGTCAACAGAGCAGGTGGAGATGGGTGATCCTGCAGCCATGGTGAACTTGCTCCCATTGTACTCTGCAGCGAGGAACAGCCGAGTCCTTCCCTGCCTGCTGCCTGGCAGCCGTGCTGTTGCCGGTAAGAGAGTGTGCTGCTCTGGAGTGAGACCATGAGTTGGGAGGACAGAGA